GAAGCCCGCGTTTTGACTATGTGGAGGTTCTCGCAGAAAAGCTCCTCGTGATCCTTTCACATTCGAAGTGCTTGCGAATTGCCAAACCAAGATTAAGCAGAGTGTTATGTCTACGTAGTAGTCGAATGCTAAACAATAAAAAAAGACCTATCACAATAATCCAATGTCGCTTCAGAATATGATCCCATGTGCGCATCAAAGGTGGATTGTACACGGGAATCCTTCAAAGCATTAAAAAATATTGATTAGAAGGGGGGGGGGGGGGGGGGGCAGGTCGAATGTACAAGGTACTTCCTCTGGGACAATTGGCTCAGGCTCTGGCCCAGTGGTCGTGTAACGCGACCGAGGCGCGTGCACCGCCAACGTGTGGCTCAAGCTCTTTCCAATTGTCGTTCCCTTGACGCCACACGCTACACGCCACACGCTACACGCCACACGCTACACGCCACACGCCACAATATGTCAACTCTTGTCCTGGGGCCTGTTCGCCGTGGGTGCTTGTTCCGTCCAGCAAACGACCTATTCACTGACGGCAGGAAATGCCTCTGCGGCTTCTACTCGAATCATCACCTCCTAGAACTCTCAGTCTGCCTACAGACAGTAGGCGACGCTGAGAGTTGCCAGATCTGGTGCAAGGAGAGGCGACCCAGGATTGCACATCCAGAATCCTTCCTGCCATACTCGGAACTGAGTGTTTGTCGCGTCAGCCTGAGCCAGCCTATACCAACGTGCGCTGTCCTGAGAAATATTGAGTCGATCCGAGCTCATCATATTGGAGCTGGAGTTGGGCCTTGGTTTCGGTCTGTTGTTTTCGAATTCTCTAAGATGGATTCGGCACGGGTGAAAGGAGCCTAATTTTGGTCCCTTCGGCTTGCCAATGCCGGTGTTTAAGGGGACACAATAGTTCTATGCCAGGACCATTGCGGCAGGGTTCCATTGGTTTAGATGTCCTTGTATCGACGTAGAGCAGCTGAGGTCATGGAAGGCCACTGAGAACAGGTCGACTGATACCACAGGAGTCTCGCAGCGAGTGGAGGACAAGCAGCTATTGTTCCCTGGGAGCCTCTCAATAGGTGGATTGATCCATCTCCTCAAAACGTAGCCTGTTGGCCCTTCTTATGTCTATCGTCTACCTTTCGTGACACTCAGTCCCTTCCCTGAGGACTCTACAGCCAAACACCAAATGCCCGCCAGCCGGCTTCCTGGCCTCACCTCGGTCCAGACTCTAGCACCGAAGATTAAAGTAGGTACCTCAAGCTTGTCTATCGATCCGGCATCAGTGAGAAACTGCTTAGTGATTTCATCAGGAGGCTTGATATTTGCGACGAGGTCTTCGGCGATGAGGCATCACGCATGCAGGACAAAACAAATACAGCGTCACTAACGGATGGCCTTATAGCTAGTTGCCTCCAAATATGGGCTTGATGTCTTCTGCGCGCCGGGGCACGTCAGTCACTCGGCGTCTCATATTGAAGAACACATCGAGGGCATGCTTGAAAGGCCCGGATTTTGCTCCGGACCTATGTCACCTCAATCGCATAGATCCCCGTGCGTGGCTTAGCTGACGTACCATGGCCTCAGATAGCATACCTCCAGCAGCTGTCCCCTTGAGGATTCGATAACTGCACTCTATGAAATCAGAAAGGGTGGCGAGCCCAGCTATGTTTGACTCTCGGAACGCTCTGCGAGTACGGTCGGGCCTAGACGGGCCTAGTGGTGGCTCTCACACAATCGTAGGCGTGGTAAGGCAAGCTCCTCCAGGCATGAGGATGGTAAAGCGAGGCTCGAAAAGACGGACTCTGCGATTCTCATAAAGTGGTCGAGCGCTCGACAAAGAATATATGCATGAAGCCGGACAAAAACATTACACCGCCATTCGAAGAGTGAAGTAATGGCTGTGTGAGTAGCGATAAGTAAGAATTCCGACCACCACCAGCTAACATGAATGAAGATTTCCCTTTTATGGGAAAGAAGTCCGTAGTGAAATAGAGTTTGCGCTAGGACACAGGTAGGGGCATGCATTGCGCGTGGCGTATGTGTAGGTCTTCCTAGGCCTTATGTCCGGGTCGAATATCCGAGCAGGTGTCTCTCGTCAAGCTCCGACTTTCCGTCTCTATCACATCCTTGATTGTTTCCCTAATTCGGACGCCCTGGAACATACGGTCCCTCGTTTCCTCTGACAATCATACTGAAACTGGACACGATTTGTACTCTACGTACAGGCAGATACCAGTGGTCCAGACTCCATCTGAGTGGTCCGGGACTTGAGCAGACGTTCTACCAATCGAACGACCTTGCAGCCGCACGCCTGGGTCAATGTCATCCCCATCCAAAGGTATCTATCGCCTTGCACATCAATGGGGCTCATTAGAGCGGAACGATACTGACATGGCCGCAAGCGGCTAAAGGGCTGGTCTTTCTGACCGTGGACGCCAACGGTCAGCCGGCTGCTAGAGACCGTAAACTCATAAGGAGTCATGTTATGCGGGGGAAGAACACCCGTACACGAGGTCTTCCTGGTCGAATGAAGAGCCGCGGCCAGACTATCGCTATGGAAAGCGAACGGTCACAGCATGCTTCAGGAGGCAATAATCATTCCGAAGAGTCCCCCCAGGCTCAGGCACGACATGAGTCGCTCAACTCTACGGTGCATGCTCTGGCCCGAATTGGACACCAAGGCATGATCCCCCGTGCCGCCAATGTCTTCACTTTCATCAAGTTTCCGGAAGACATCAGTAGTACTTCGCGTACCTTGCTATGCACATGTACGTTTATCCTTTCCAGGAACCAAAAAGCCCTCCGCCTAACGCCTTCTGCCTTCCAGACTTTTCGCACCTGAAAGATACAATGTACCCGATTGGAAGGCACTCTCTTGCTGACTCTACCAATGCATACTGGTTTCACTGGACTCAGCTCGACTTGGCCTACCTTCACTCCATCCTTTACACGACGTCATTCTTTTACGATAATTTGAAAGGAGAGCAGAGTAAGAGAACGGAATTCCACTCGTATAGGACGATTCAAGAGCTCAATAAACAACTGGCTGATCCTACAACTGCCCTGACCGACTCCACAACTACTGTCGTTATGGGTATGGCTTTGATGGCGGAGGGCTTTGGAGACGTAGAGTCCGCACACCTGCACATAACGGGTCTCAAGCAAATCGTCGCCCTACGCGGTGGTATGAAGTCGTTCGCCAACAGGCCTCAGCTTGAATCCAAGCTTCGCCGGCAAGTCTTCGCTCTCGCTTGCCAAGTTCAGCCTATCATGATCTGGTCAACGTTGCTAACTATGAACGCCCGAAGAGCTGGTCTAGTTTACCACATCTGCACCGGCGCTAGTCCTGCCTTTCACCAAGATGCTGCATCTTTCGATTCAGCTTTCGACTGTTCGCCTGAACTCACAAATCTCAAGCCATCGGACACGTCCTGCTTCTCCCGCTCGCGCTCTGTGGCAAGAGCTTTAGAAAGGAGGCTGTACATCATCTGGAAGGATGTGCAGGGTCTCTCACAGCTCATCAACGATAGCCACGAGTCCGGTCAAAAGATACGGGAGATGTCGCTCGAGGACCTCATGACATCCGTTCAGTCCCGCCTGCTCATGCTGACATATACTGATAGCAATTCTCTCCCAGAGCTTCTTCGGCTGTCACTTCTCGCGTTCTTGACAACCGTTTTCTGGAGTTTCCCTGGCATCAAATTTGAGTACCCGCATCTGGTCCACCAACTCCGACAAGCTTGCCAGGCCTATACGCCCGCTACGGCAGGAGAGAGCTATCTCTTCGCCTGGGCTTTGATGGTAGGGGCAACATCCGTGTTCCACGACCTTGATCATACCTGGCTCCGAAAACGATTGCGCCCTCTGATCCCAGAAAACCTAGGGACGACGTGGTCCGAAGTACAGAATAGCTTGAGACAGGTCATGTGGATCGAAAGTATTCACGACGGCCCCGGGATAGAGATCCTCAACATTTGTCTTGGGGAACCCGGGGACGGAAGTATTGATGCTCGAGGGAACACTGTATTGCCAGTGCTTGATTTGGAGCAGAGTGAAGAGGCCTTTCACACGTAGTCCGCAAGTAATAGAATATGGGTTGGGGATCCCAATACATCTGGAATGTGGCCCTCTGCAGCTTGGAGGGCCGTCCGCAGCTCCTTATATACACGTTCTCGTAACCCTTGGCCCCTAATCGGCCCCCTGTTCGGTCGCTCCGCAAGGCCACCTGATATTGATATGAGTGGCCGCTGGATATGACACGCAGTGTCCCTGGCGCAAAAACGTTCTCCACGAGCGGAGTTCGTAATTGTGTTGAGATTGATTGTGGATGATCTATGCTGCACATAAGTGCTCGACGGCACATTAGGGAGATTTGTTTTTCACGTCTGGAGGCTAAGCATAGTTACGAGGGTAGGTTGAGGTATCTTTTACTGGTCCTGACCGATTTGGAACAGGGGCAGTGAGACATAGGGTCGTAGCTCACACTTGTACATAGAGAGCGAACCCTGAGGTTATTTCTGCGTTTCGGTCCAGTGGTGTACGAGGCACGGAGGCGGGTGCCTTGATACTATTCTCGGCTCATCTGTTTTAGATCAAGAACCACGTGCGCTAGAGTCCGAGGTCTATCACTCGTCTTCAATGCCCACCAGCTTGTTCGACTTCTCCCAAAGCTCCTTTGCAGCCTCCTCATCGTAAGCCCAGGGGGCGTATCCAACCTCGCTCTGTAGCCAATGCTCACTGATTTCCGCTGGCCCCTCCTCAGCAAGGTTGCTCAGATACCTGCCGCCTCGGCCTTCCCATTCGTTGCTCAGCGCAGCGTAAATGGTCGTGGCCGCCCCCTGGCCTACGCTCTTCATTCCCTTGATGAGCGCATCGTTCGTCGCGAACGACGCTAGGACCTCCTTGCTGAGATATTGAGAGAGGTTGGTCTGGATGATACCCGGGTGCAGAGAGAGGCCGTGCAATCCCTTGGATCCGTATCGCCTTTCGACCTCGTTGGCGAAGTAGATGTTGGCCGTCTTCGATTGTCCATACGCAGTCCAGGGTTCGTAAGGATCCTTCTCAAAGTTGAAGTCGTCGAGACGGACCTTACTATAGCGATGGGCCGAGGAGGCCACAGAAACTACGCGCGATTGGAAATCAGGCGTGGAGGCTGCGAGCAAATCGGGCTTTAATAGTTGGAAGAGGAGGAAGTGGCCCAAGTGGTTGGTGCCAAATTGGGCCTCGAACCCGTCCTCTGTCTTCCACTCGGGTGTGGCCATGACGCCGGCGTTGAGGATCAGCAGATTAAGCTTGTCGCCCTTATCATGGAAGGCCTTGGCCGCTGCTCGTACCGAGGCAAAGGAATCCAGACGCAACTCTATGGCGTGTATAGGGGCATCGGACTTGGGACCGGGTCCGTTCTTGATGCTTTCGATAGCCTGCTGGGCTTTGGCCGAGTCTCGGGCAGTGATGTAGAGAGTGGCGCCAGTGGCGTGGATGGCTCGCGCTGTCTCGACACCAATACCAGAGTTTGCGCCCGTCACGAGAACGACCTTGCCGGCGAGCTTGTTGAATAGGTCTTCATCCTCAACGACCTGAAGAGCTGTAGGCCGCGCATCTCCAGGGCCCTGGGTGCTGACGTGGGAGGCGGCGTACCTAGACATTGTGACGGATGATGGATAACTTCTCAAAAAGTATGGCTTATGCGGTGAAATGGTGGTTTTGCTGTAGTTCGTCAAGGTTTGTGGCCGAAAATATGAGCACGGAAACACCTCGCTATATATCCCCAGTGTATGCTGGGCTCTAGACACGTCAGCATACACGGTGAGCGTAGAGGGGAAATGCCGTACCTAGTGCCGAGAGTCAGGTGAATGCGAATAAAGCATTATTACAAAGCTCGGAGGAACCAAACCCGTGCTCTGTAAACAAGCTGCTCAGTAGGAAGAGTCGAACATACCTTGCAGAGGGTCGCTTCATGATTCAAAGTTTGGCTCGGATCACAGGGTGGTTCACTTGCGTCCTGGTTCCATAATAAATTCGAGTACACATGCAGGGAAGCCCCGAACTACATGAAGTGTCCGTATCGTTCCAATGTCCCGCAAGTTAGCGGGTTGAAGCATTGTACATGCCCATGTAGGTCCACCACTTGGTGGTGCGTTCTCGGCAGTATTGGACTCCGTTAACTCCGCGATAGACTTGAAGCTTAGGCATATCAACTCCCCCACACAACTGTTGCAGACAAGCTCTAAGGCAAACATCAGGCTGCATGCTTGTCATGTTGGTGTACTCGACTCATCCGTCGCACAAAGCATACTGACATCGAGGAGTCTTTTCACAGCGCCCCCTACTCAAATTACGGCAGTTACTACAAGAGAAAGCAAGTGGGCCAGAGAGACGTCTTTTCGGGTACTTTGGTGTGTAGATTACCAGCTTTACACGTGCATCCACCGGGTCTTTCGTTTGGGAATGCATGCAGTAGTGCAGACCACGTTGGGGAGCTAAAGCCGCCTCCATGATATGTAGCTTGGAACCGTACGTAAGCTAAGACAATTGAAGCCTATCGACACGCCCCCTCTGACCGCCATCATCCTAAGGCCACAGCAGCAGTCTAAACCTGATCGAGTTTGTGGTTTTACTTTAACGTGCTGATTGATCAGCACGTTCTCGAGATCCCAGTCTAGCACTTTGAGCACAAAGGCGCACGGCTCATGCGTCGTTTACGTGACAGAAAGAAACTATAAAGGATCGTAGAGTAGCCCGCTCATAGATCTCTTGCAAACACAAGCTCATATTCTCACCTTGAAAACATGGCTCCTCTCGTCTGGTTGATTACAGGCAGTTCCACTGGCTTCGGTGCCGAATTCGTGAAGGCGCTTCTCGCTGCAGGAGACAAGGTCATTGCCACGGCGCGCAACCCCACCAGCATCGAACATTTCCAAAAGGCGGGAGCATCGGTTCTCAAGCTAGACTTGACCTCAAGCCAGTCCGACTTTGAACAACTGGCGGAGCAGGCCATTGGCATCCATGGTGGTGTGGACGTGGTAGTGAACAATGCCGGGTACCCACACTTCAGCACCATCGAGGACGATAGGTTTGATGGCTCCATGTCCTCAACCAGCATGTTTACCTGTCTAACTGTGATTAGCCTCGAGAATTGGAACAAGGTTTTCCAAACTCACGTGTTCGGCCCTCTCGGCGTCGCACGAGCTTTCCTGCCGCACTTTCGGGAGAAGAAGGCTGGGAACTTTGTGTTCATGGGATCGATTGCGGCCTGGGGAGGGCGGCCAGCCGTTGGGGCCTACTGCAGCTCCAAGGCGGCTCTGCGAGGTTGGTTCCGCCTTCATCACGCTCCCACGCAGCGATGGACTGACTGACCTATTTCCGTAGCCGCGGTTGAGAGTCTGAATCTGGAAATAAAGCCCTTCGGCATCCGGACGCTGCTTGTCGAGCCTGGGTACTTCCGAACCGAGTTCCTCAATGAGAAGAATGCTGTCTACGTTGACACCAAGATCGATGACTACAAGCCTCTCGTCGACAACATGTACCCACAGGCGAAGGGAATCCATCAACAGCAGCCCGGCGATCCTGCCAAGGGTGTGGCGCGCATTCTCAACGTCGTCAGATCCAATACGCCCGGTGACGATTTCCCCGTCAGTCTGGCCTTGGGCGACGATGCTCTTGACACAATCCGGAAGAAGTGCACCGACACGTTGGAGCTGCTGGACAAGTGGGCGGACAAGTCTTCGAACACGTCATTCTGAGGGACGACGAGATTGGGCGGACTAGTCGAGGTCTGCAGACACGATTCTCCTCAGGCTTGTATGATGAGCGGGAAGGCCCTTGCTGCTAGTCCTAGTGTAGCAGGAGATAGCTGGCCGCAGAATAGCCCGCAAGTTTTGCTTCCCGAATCTTTTTGCTGTGCCACCCGCCGTGGTGAAGGACTGTCCCAACTACTCTGATTCAGCTGCGTTGCTCACTCAGCTGGGGCTTGATCGTCATCTCGACGACGTGTATGATTTGCTGCCCCCTCGGCCTTCCCGATGTCTTACAACAGCTGTTTCCCCTCATCCGGTGCCGTCTGTCTCGGCTATCACGACCCCCAGCCCCAGGACCCACAGTGGTAAACGCCACAGTTGGTGCTCTGCCACAGCTTCCTCAAAGTAAACCGAGTTCAACGAAAGTGCCCGCGCTCTGACCGTCCAAGATGTTTGTGTGTAATTGGAGGTATTGGGAGGCACTCCAGACCATTACATGTATGTCCCTTGCAATGACCTGCCAAAAACACGGATTGATCTCGAAACAGTAGTGAAAAGACACCAAATTGCGATGTTTTACCTAATGCAAGATACTTTTCGGTACACGAGACTGAGGCGTCAGATACCTTGGGAGATCCTGCAGATCGGCCTTTGTTGGTATCTGCAAGGCGAAAAAGGGCAGGCTCTTGGGCCTCATGCATAGGCACGTCGTTGAGATTGGCGTTGTTTCTGTGTCTGGATTAGGTTAGTCGAGATTCTTCTGCCTTAGCTTGAGCCGGATTTCCCCATTAGGCAAACAATCAGGAAACTCAACCAGCCACTAGTGGGAGTATGGGGCTGGAAATGCAATGCAATGGGGGTATTCATCTGACGAGGGCATGCAGTACTGAAGGTTCACCAGATACCCATTTTTCTGGCCTCTGCCACTGAACCAATACAAGAACCAACTTGAACCCCCATTACTTACCAATTCTGTTGATACCCATTTCTACTAGTGTGTTAATCAAGTCACAGGGCTTCGGCCGAAATAGGTGGGGCGTCACAGGATATAGCTGCTAACGATTCACGGGAAACCAAGCCTTTCCTCCACCGAATTCAGCTATTGCAAAGGTAGGTATGCATTATCTCTATTTCAGAGGCGTTCTTGGCAGAGGTGCCAGCCGTCCGAGACTCCCTGCGACGCGTTCGGGACGCAGACGGCGGTCAACGAACTGGACCAGAAGTGGGTGCTGTCCTGGCCCTGCATTCCCAACACCTGAAACGCCATTCTCGTAACCCTACACCAGCTGTGTCACAACACCACAGAGCAACTTTAACTGACGCTTCCTCTCCATCAGTGTTCCTCCTAGTCTCTGGTCCAATTCCTCCAGGATCGCGTTCAACGGTTGTGCTACAGCAGTAAGCGAAAACGTCATACCTCAAAGGGAGCAATCACGAACTTACAGTTCATACGATTAATTTCCGCCAAGGTCTCAGGAAAACCCTCGATAACCTCCCCTGTCCGCAAACTCCGTAAAGGTTTCAACATCTGTCCTGCCTCTTTCACAGTGCTGTTGAGAGATCGCGCCAACGCATTTGCATCCCTATTAAAGAACCCAAGTTAGCTCGACCGCAAGACAAGCCCTAGGCATCACTCACCCGGCTCTAAGCCTCACTTCCAAGGCATCAAAGCGGTGCTCAAAGCGTTCAAAGCGGCGTTCCAACCGCGCCTGCCCCTGCTGCAAACCCTCCATTGCCGCTAATATTTGTGCACCGCCATCAAGAGCCGGAAGATTGGGTAGCAATGCACTCTGCTCAGCAAGTGTAGTAAAGGCACCCGCAACTTGGCGGAAATCGGGTTGGCCTGCCATCGCGACCGTAAGAAAGACTCAGAAGTGGTGATGAAGAAGAAAGACTCAGAAGTGGTGATGAAGAAGAAAGACTCAGAAGTGGTGATGAAGAAGAAAGATCAAGAAGTGGTGATGAAGAAGAAAGACTCAGAAGTGGTGATGAAGAAGGGAAGTTCAAAATAAGGAAGGCATCCTCACGCGTCCCGCGTTTGACCACTTCCTGCCCAGCAACGCCCCACTTCTCCCAAAGATGACAAACGAAGCAGCCTTAGTCAGGCACGCACAGACCCCATTGTCTCCAGACTCTCCTGCCTCCACACGATTTCTTCCCAGAACTACAGTGTCCCAAGACAACATTCCTATCGTCCTGGGACTTCTTTATCCCAAAAGTAGCTCGTCCCAGCACCCTCTACGTCCGAAAACAATTCAACCTGTTTCGTTGAAGAACATAACAGACTAAGCACAAAGGCACCGGCCACGTCCTCCCGTCCCAACATCACATTGTCCCAAGACTTTCCTGTCCCAGTACCACACTGTTCTAAATCTTTCCGCACTGTCACACCCCAGTCACATGCTATCAATAAGCAGCGCTTCAGAGACGCCAACAGACAAGTCGTTCAAGATCACTGGGGTCCTGCAGATAACCCTGTCCGCCAACGCGAGCTGCTCGACAACATAGTAGGACACCTGGAAACCCTGTTAAAACGTCCATGACAGACACTGTGCTGACCATGCGACTCGAAGTTACCAAACGCTCTTCACCGTCGAAAAGAACTTGACCAGGGGCAGAGCAAACCTCGCTCCGCGAGGCGGCAGTCTTGTCACATAGGCCGGATTTTCCGTGAATGCCACGAATGGCCCGTGTATCAAATAGACTACCTACTGGTCAAGCTGAGCCTACCTTCCGGTGAAAGATCGACCGAAATTTCAGTACTGAGGTAGGGGTGTGGAATACTGACGATAATTCTGAAGTACTTGCACCTCTCAGGAGCGCACAAGGAGCTGAATTGCAGCTGCGATGAGCCTGTTGCTTACGAGGATATGTTGCTAGGCTCGTGTGCAAAGTCGATTAACGGTGTCTTGCTCGAAGCAGGCTTCTCCTTGTACAATATCTTGGAATGTTGGTCTTTTCTCACATGGGGGAATGCTTATGGCGTGTTGTTGAATGTCAAAAAGCACCTGCGGAGCCATGGGACTGCGGCTTAACTTAGAGGGCTCGGGACCATGAGATTGCGTATGTAAAGGCTGCAAAGCCCCTCTTAGTTGCGGCAGGCTAGGATTCAGATGTATTTCTACGACATACCTCAAAATTGACTGCGTACATCACCTGCGAAGGACTTCTCCACTCTCCTCGTCCACACGCTCTGACGGATCAGCACAGCCAGGCTTATGCACATGGGATACTTCTTGTCCTCGACTGCTGCAGCTTATTGGGCGCGCCTGGTCGGTCACGTAGATTGTCTCAACATCCTTAGCCACAGATAACCAGCAAGTCTATCAAAATCTATAGAAGTATAGAGACAGCACAGCGTGAAGCCTCTGCGCGTCATTCATTTGATTGTTTTAAAAGCCCCATTTATGTACCCTCACCAAACACATGTAAGGACCAAAGACGGCAACAGCTCACTACGCTTCAAGGACACCTTCACCGACGTACTCTGGTATAGTGATCGATGTGTTCCCCGCTACCTGAGAAAAAGTTGGCCGAGCATCACTGGCCAGCTGCGTGATATGAGTTCATAATTGACCTCAAAACAAGGATTTACCCTACTTGTTGCTGAAAGGAATCATGCTCTTTAATGAGAGTAAGTACCGTAACGGGTCAGAGGCGTGGCGCTGAACTACTCTCATTGCTTCGGCGTGGAGGCGCAATCTCTGCAAAACATTGATGAATGAGACCTGAAAAACATTTGTTCGGCTTGACATCTCCTTCCACCGTCTGGAGCACCAATTGTGTAACTTCTTCTCAATAGATTTGTTGCTCAGGCCTTGTCTCGTGTCGAAGACTTCATCGAGTTTTACCATTTGTCGCTACAGATTTCTCCGGGTCATTGCACAGGGCCCAAAGAATGAGATAAAATTGAGGGTAAAAAGCTATGCATACTATCATCTCACTATAATGTGCCTTGATGCTGTTCCCTTTGATATTGCGTATGGACTGCTCCATGTGCTGTCTGTACGTCGTAGAGGTCTATATGGCTTGCGGCTCTAGTGAGGGCACAGCCGCTGCTTGACATGTTAGCAGTTTCTGCATTCACTGAGACGGCCTGAGCACGGAATATTGCAACTTCTGTCATACTTAACAACTGTATTTTTGTGCATCTCGGCTATGGGCACAAATACGTTTTCGCTCCTTCCTCCTTAGAGCCACCGCGCCCCACATACACTCAGTTGTCAACTCCTCCGCCAACTCCTGGCGTTCTGCTTTGTTTCCTTACCTCCACCACCCACTTTCACTTTCACTCTCCCGCGTTCTTCAACCGGCCCCCAGTTCCCAGTCTCTCCGCGACCGCCTCGTCTACACGACTTGATCTTTCTGGCTCTCATTAGTCGACTTGCTTAGGCTCCACGCTCATTCAGCAAATCAAGTAAGTCTCGGTTGGTTCTTTTCTGCACGCAATTTCATTCAGTTGCCGGACGGAACACTCTCAAGCACTTGTTTTTCAAAGTCGTGTTTTCTTAGTACGGAAGCTGCTCTTCTGGCGCTTCTTTGAATGCTCTCCTCGTCTGTCATGTTTCCTCCTCTGATTCACACAAGAGCGCGTTATCTTGTTGTTCCTTCCTTGTCTTTACATGTGCACACTTCATATCCCAGCAGACCACAAACAGCATCTCTCGTCCTCGTTTCTGCCTCAACATTGCGAGTTGTCATTCTTTTGCAGGGCATTCATCATCCAATCACGAACCTGAAGCTTTGTCAGTTATCTCTTGACTTTGGCTCTTTTCATGCTTTAAGAGCTGCCTCTCGGGGATGACATCGCAACTTCCGCATTGTCGCCATCTGATTTGTCTCTTATTCCGTCCTTCATATTCTTTTCGTGTTAAGCGGGTCTCTTTGGTCAACCAGTAACTAACCACACTTTTAGACACTCTCTGACGAGCAGTCAAAGCAAGCGAGTCCAGCCTGTTTCCAACGAACAAGATGTCACACTAACATGGCGCAGTGGAGCAGCACACTGTCAGTGTTCCTGACAAGTTCGAGTACTACGAGGACGTGTTCGACTACCCCCCTGAGGACGGCTTTTCGGTCACTCGCCCGATGGCCGCCCAGAGTGTCCGCGTCAAGAAACATCGCTCGAAGGGCTACCTCCCTGCTTGCGGTTTCATGACTGTGTTCATGGCCCTGGTTCTTGCCGTCTTTGGCCTTGGCCTTCTCGCCTCTGGTATGCGCATGCACGCCTTTTCACGACAACATCTAACATGTGCAGGTCGTGTCACCTTCAATGTTCGTGTCGAAGATGCTGAGGATACTTTCCCTCAGCTTGCCCGCCGTGACTTCCACGCCACTTACAGCTACGCGTTCCCCAACACCACGGTTATCACTTCGACTGCTGGCGCTCCTGAGGCCTATGGCTCCCAGACCACCTCCGCTGTCAACACCACTGTCTCTAACAGCACCGTCTCACTCACCAAGACCGCTACCGTGTTTGCCACTGTTTCCCTCGACAGCACTGCTGGTATTCAGGCCACTTCTGACGCTCTTGCCCTCACCGGTCCTGCTGCCTCAGAAGCTGTCACGTGAGTCTACAAATCTGGCCCCTTTGCCTTTTCACAGGCGCTGACATGGTCGTAGCACGACTGACACTGTGGTCGCTGATGATACGGTTGTTGAAACCATCAACGGCGGTACCATCACTCGTTACCGCAATGCCACCCACACATTCACCCAGTACCAGACCGTCACCTCTGGTGTGACCGAGGCTATCGTCGAGACGATCCTGGCCACTGAGACTGCCGAGATCGTCGAGACTGTGATTGGAAGCACCCTGACTGTGATTGAGCACAGCATGGCCACTCTCACGGTGACGGTCGATGCAGAGGAGTCGTCTGTTGTTGCCCCTGAGGTGACCTCTACAGTCATGGCTTCTGAGGAGTCGTCTTCCCTCATTCCTCCCCCTGTGACTTCCACAGTCACCGTCTCTGGTGGTGTCTCGTCTGCCATCTCATCTGACGTGACCACCGAGGTGGCCTCCTCGTCTGTCTCCAGCAGCTTGAGCACCTCTAGCACCTCCACCACCGAGACCACCATCACAGTCACTCCCACGGTGTCTCTGACCACGACTGTCACGGTGGAAGCCCCCACGGATGTCGCCACCATCATGGCCACCACCACGGTCGTCGGTGGCACCACGACTATCCGCGTCACCCGCGATCACACTGTCTTCACTACCCTCATCCCCGTCCAAACTGAGGTCCCTGAGACTTGTGCCGCCGGCCAAACGGTGTTGATCACTGTGACTAAGGTCGCCAGTCCCGTGCCTGTCGAGACCACAACGACTGTCTACCCTACTACCTCTGTGGTCACTCACACCCGCCACGGCATCGTGACAGTCACCTTTCTGACGACCGAGGTCCAGACCGTCGTTCAGACCCTGTCGACTGAGTTCGAGATGACCACTTCGGACGTGCTCGCACAGCCAGGTACCCCGATCAAGGCGTCTACCACGTCTTCCTTCTCGTCGGAAGCCCCCGTCACTGAGACGCAGGTCCTCACCCTGACGGAGACGGACATTGCCACGCACACCGTCAGCATCATCGAGTCCGCGGTCCTGACGACCAAGGTCTCCATGTTCACTACCATCACCGTCCGCATCGGCACCACAACCCTCCACGGCGGCGTCGTCACCGTGACCGTCGAGCCCCCCTCGTCAGCCCCGTCCAGCCCCGTCGCCGAGGACGCAGACGTGCAGACCGTAACCAAGACCGAGTACGCCACCGAGCACCTCACAGCCCCAACCGCCAGCGACGCCGCCCACGAGACGAAGACAATCTACGCAACCGCGACCCAAGAGCTGTCCGTC